CCACCTGACTTGGGCGTAGGTATCCTGTGACTGAGGGTGCCACATTCTATCTGCTGCAGAGCGGTCATTTTTATCCAAATTCAAAAAGTTTAAAATGAAAAGAGTATGATGTCAAAGATTACTTGGTGTCTGGGGATATAACTCCCCATTTTTTATTTTTTGTAATTGTTTTTAAAGCACCATGAGATCTTTCCACTATACCTTGTCCTTGTGGGTTATACGGGATCCAGTTCTATGCTCAATGCCCAATTGTAAACAGAAACGTTGGAACCCCTGACTAGTATAGCCAGAGCCATTATCTGTTTTTATAACGTTAGGGATCCCAGCTATGGAAAAGCAAGTTAAGCAATGAGTTATAACATTTTTTGTGGCTTCCCCTGTTTGCACAGTAGCCATAATAAAGCCAGAAATTATATCTATTGTAACAAGTACATACCATTGCCTGCCAAAATCCACAACATGAGTAATATTCATTTGCCACAATTGGTTAGGCTTCAGCCCTCTAGGATTAACCCCATAATGAGGAACAATTTGTGTTTGAGGACAAGATGAGCATTGCCACACAATTTGTCTTGCAGCTTCCCTAGTAATATGAAATTGTTTTCTCAAACTTTGACTATTTTGGTGATGAATGGCATGAGAATTTGTAGCTTGCTTTACCTGAGTCAATCCTATAAGTTGAGTGGCTTTATCTGCCAAGGCATTCTCAAAGCTAATGGTCCCGGAAGACCACTATGTGCCCTTAGATGTCCTATATAGCAAGGATATTGTCTAGATTTAGTACTATTTTGCACCTATCTTAACAGCAAACAAATTTGAACATTTCTAGTTTCAATAAAAGGCACTGTTTCAATTTCCTGTAGAGTCGAGCTACATAATGACTGTCTGAGGGCAGTGGGACCATACTGAGCACAAGCAGTCTTTAGTTCCTTAAGCTGCTTAAAAGGCACAGGTGCATGAGACCGCACCCTGTTGCCCTGCTGATCTACTTGCTCAGAAACTGGGAAGACTTGAAATCCATGCACTGACTCTCCTCTCTCTGCCGCGGCCCTAATGGCCTGTTGTAATGGAGATTGCATGGTTCTAAGCGGATACCGGATTCCTGCCGAAGGCTCCTGAGCCACTGCTGAGAAACTCCAGTGCCCATAAACGGGAACAGAACTTTTTAGTTATGTTTCCAAGACTGCTAA